TACGGAAGTAGGATTGCCCAACCTTCCTTCCGAGGAGTGGCTGGTGGGTTTGAACTGCCAGCCTTCTGGTTAGCAGTCAAGTGCCTTAGGTACTATGCTACCAGAGCTCCTTTGTCTATAATAGAGAAACCCAAACAATCTGCTCAATTATTCTGTAAGTCTGAAACTATACTAAGAAATTAAGCCTATTGATTTTTTTTTTTTTTAAGGCCCTTATAAAATCCATTAGGAGCTCTGGTGGCGTAGTGCCTCAGGCATCTCACTGCTAACCAGAAGGCTGGAGGTTCAAACCCACCAGCCACTCCTCAGAAGGAAGGTTGGGCAATCTCTTTCTGTAGTGATACCGCCTTGGAAACCCAAGGAGGGGTCACTATGAGTCGGATCCAACTTGGTGGCAGTGAGTTGGAATTTAGTTATAAAACCCACTGCCGCTGAATCAATTCAGACTCCTAGTCGCTCCAGGTACTGCAGAGTAGAACTGCACTCCATAGGGTTTTCAAGGTGGTGACATTTTGGAAGCAGATCACCAGGCCTGTCTTCCAAGGAGCCTCTGGGTAGGTTTGAACCACCAACCTTTTGGTTAGTCGTTGGGCACTTGACTGCTTGTGCTACCCAGGGACTCCACAAAGGCCCTTAGGAAGTCTAGAAATCTCCAAGTATTACATGTTCTTCTTGGGACTGCATGTCCTCATCTGTCCCCTGTAGGTGACAGTTGCTGGGCTCCCACCCAGATCCACATGTGGATGTATGAGCATCAGAGTGGGCTTGTGTCAGGTTCCAGATCTCCTTGGTGGTCACTGGTGGTATGGACCCTGAGGGTTGGCCCTGACTTTTCTTCAGGTATGCTGGGTAGATCCCTGGCTAGACCAGATAGATGTTGCAGGGGCTAGCTGGGCTGAAGACCACCCCCTTAGGTGGCCAATCCCTGGCTGAGGAGTCAGTCTGTGGACATGGATCCTGGCATTAATGTGCATTTCTCCCTCTTCAGTTAATAAACAATGTGAATCCACTTGGGCCTACGGGTGGGGAAAGCTACTAATCCCTGTACTTGGAGTTTCTGCGTTCACCTTATCCTGCTGAGTCAGGATAAGGCCAGGCCCTTCTTGACCTAGTATGTCTAGACCGTGTGGTCTTAACTGTTCACTTCTGTTCTGGTCATCTATTGCCACTCTGACAGGAATATACCGCAGATGGGATGGCTTGAACAAACAGGAGTTTATTCTTACAATTTGGAGGCTTTAAGTCCAAGTTCAGTGCCAGGCCCTAGGGGCTGGGTGAAAGCCCCTCAACCTTGGGATTCAGCTCTGCCTCCTGCTCCTGGCCCACTGGAGCTAAAGGCTTTTCTTCACTCAGCTGCTGGCTGCTGAGACTGAGAAATCCAAGATTGACAAGTAAAAAGGCAGAGTCCCAATGTTAACAAACCACATGGCAGGCCATTAATTTAAGTCCATTGAAAGTCCCAAGGTCGGCAAAGCATGGCAGGCTGCTGAATAATAACACCGCAACACGCAGAGCTCAAGTGTGCCATAGGCTAGAGACCATTCCCAAAGCTGCTGCTTATATACAGGAAGCAGACCACATCCCTAAAGCAGCTACTCAGCTGCTTGTGGTAGATCCCACCATGGACTTGATTGCCAGTCTCATCATGGGGAATAACGACCACCAGCTGCCCAGCCACTCAACCAAGCCCAACCAAGCTGACATAAAACTTTAACTACCACAACTTCCTAGTCATCCCTCCTATGCAAGTCCTTTAGTGAGTCCCTCTCCTCTTGGGGCAGGGAGGTCTATGTGGTCTGACCCCTGCTCACTTCCCATGGCACTTGTTCTGTGCTCCAGCCACACTGACCACTTGTCATTCCTCAAAGCCTGTGCTCCCTCCTGCTGAAAATGCTCTCCTCTTTCCTCTTTGCTAGTTAACACTTCTTCAGCCTCCATCTTTACTTGAGCCCCCAAGTGATCTTAGGCAGGCTCCTTCTTACGGTGCTTATGGGACCCTGGCCATGGGAGAAAGATGCAGCAGTCTGTTTCCTACAGTTCTAACTCTATACTATAGGGTCAGTATGAGTCAAAATCAACTCAGTGGCAATAGGTTTGGGTTTGGTTTATAGGACCCTGAAGGAAACCTGATGGTGCAGTGATTAAGCACCTGGCTACTAACTGAAAGGTTGCTGGTTTGAACCCACCAGCTGCTCTGCAGGAGAAAAGATCTGATGATCTGCTCCTGTTAAGATTATAACCTAGGCAATTCCTTCAAAAGTTGGAACTAGAAATACCACTTGACCCAGCCATTCCATTACTAGGTATATATCCTAAAGAAATGAGAACCATGACAAGAACAGACATATGCACACCCATGTTCATCACAGCACTATTTACAATAGCCAAAAGATGGAAACAACCTAGGTGTCCATCAGCTGAGGAATGGCTAACCAAACGATGGTACATACACACAATGGGATACTATGCAACACTAAAGAATAATGTAGAATCTGCAAAACACTACATAACGTGGATGAACTTGGAGGACATTATGCTGAGTGAAATAAGTCAATCACAAAAGGACAAATATTATATTAGTCCGTTATTGTAAAAGTCAAGGAAAGGTTTATCTATGGAAGGAAATTTTCTTTGTTGGTTACCAGGGGTGCGAGAGGAGGGAACACTGTTAGATAGGTGGAGATAAGTATTGATTTGGGTGAAAAGAAGGGCAATGTACCAAATGTGAGTGATTGATATGGTGGCATTGAGGAAGAGAAAGGCATAGAGAGGTACATGGGAGGTACAGAACACAAAGATGAACCCTTTTGCACATACAGTATTGCATTGTCAGTGAAGGCAAACAGTGAAGGTAGATGGGTGGATAGGCTGAACTAGTAGATCTGTCTATGAAGTGGGGAGTGTACTCAAGATCATGCATGGAGTTGGCAGACGATGGTCCTATAAGTTTATTTGTATGATCTGAATCCCCAGGTGTATAGTAGAGCTGATGAGGGACAAGGTTGTAGTCACTTCTTGGTCACAGCCAGCTACCCAGAGGGAGCGAGTAGTTGAACCTGTGGGCTTGGGACCATAGTCACAGGGGACATCAAGCTCAATTGGTATAACATACTACACAAAATATTGTACCACCTCCTACTTTGGCGAGTAGTGACTAGGATCTTAAAAGCTTGCAAGCTGCCGTCTAGATGCAACAATGGGTCTCTCCTCGTCTAAAGCAAAGAAGGATGAAGAAAACCAAAAATTCATGGAAACAATTAGTCCTAGCAACTGGTACACCATCTGATCTTCAGCCTATATGACTATGAGACCAGAAGAAGTAGATGGTGCCTGGCTACCACTGTCAACCACTTGGAAGGGGATCTATGTAGGAGATCCTTGATAGAGAGGGAGAACAATGTGGAACAAAACTCAAAATCATTTGGGAAAAAAAATGGGGGACCAGGTTTGCTGGTCCAATAGAGCCTGGTGGAACCACTGAGACTATGGCCCCTAGCTGCCCTTCAGGTCTGGAATTGAACACACACCTGTGGCTTCCAGCCAAACAAAATACAGGCATATAAGTTAAACATTTACCTGAGGTAGATACACTCCTTGGAAAGAACAATCATGGGAGAAAGAAGGGCTGCTTATGCACAGGGAGACAGCTCAGGGGGCAGGAGTGCATGGACGGATGGACACAGGGAAGAGGTAACTATGAGGAGGAAGTGGGAGGGGAGCTGTTGCATTGTGGTAAATTGTGGTCAATGTCATGAGACAAAGTGTATGTGAACTGCTGTATGGAAAGTGAATTTGCTCTGTAAATCTTCACCCAAATCACACACAAACACACACACAAAAAAAAAGATTATAGCCTAGGAAACCCTATATGGAAGTTTTATTCTGTCCTATAGGGTCACTGTGAGTCTGGATCAACTCATGATACAAAACAACAAGCCTACCCAGAAGGAGCTCTGGGTGCCCCTGGTTTATGTGGTTTATGTTTACTGTCCTTGTCTTAGCTGGCTGCTTTAGACCATCCTTCTATTTGCAACATCATCTGGGAGTGGGAGTCCTGAGCCTTGTGGACGTTTGAAGAATTGGAAGGAGGAGAGGTTCTTCTCATCCACAGGTGCCCAGTTAGGCATATGGTGGGCTTGTCAAAATGTAGGCCCTCTGTCTGCCCTCTTGAATTTCTCTCTGATTCTGCCTTTGACCTTGAAGCTGAGAGGAAAGAAACTGGCCTACAAAAGAGCCCAGGAACATAAGGCCTTGTATTTCAGCTCTAAGTCCATGCAAGGACTTCATTGCTTCCTCAGGAAGGGCCCTAATGAGATGACTAAGGTCATGCTTTGTGAGTTCCTTATCTGTGTGGGTTTCCTTGGGGCACCTTCTCAGACAGGTTAGGGAGAGCCACTTGCTCCAGCTTAAGGCAATCTTGTCCCCATCCTGCTACTAGGCTTGAAGTTGAAGAAAGGGTCAAGGGGTGACCTTGTTTTACAAGAAGATTTGGAGAAAATCCAGTGGCCCCCAAAGTGTTATAAGCAGCCTTCCAACCAGCCAAGTGGGCCAGATCCTTGGTGTTAAGGAGGCCTGGCCTAGTGCACTCAAGACCACATTCCCTTTCTCCACAGTTCCAGAGATCTGGATCACACTGCCCCCCAGCCCATTGGAGGCCTTAGCTACATTCAGGGACACACCAGAATTGGTCTTCTCAACAAGACTGTGGGACGGTGCCTGGATGCCACAGCCCAGAAGATGCCAGACCGAGAGGCCTTGGTTGTCATACATGAAAATGTTAGGTTGACCTTTGCCCAGCTCAAGGAGGAGGTGGGTCTTGACCTTGAACCTCAAAGTGGCCCAGGCCACTGTATCTGAGTAAGGGTGGGAGGGCGAAAGAGAAGAAGACACCTGGCTATGGGGCAGTTTATTGGGATTGCCTGAGAACCCCAAGGGATGGCAGAAGGGGACAGTGCTCAGGCAGAGGGGGCCCAATGCCTACTGCATCAGGACTTCCTGGGACATTTATTAATTATGCATATCACCAGGCTCCACTGACCACCCACTGAGGCCTGGGAGTCTGTCTCTCACCTTGTTCCCAGGTGATTCTGATGCACACTGATGTGAAGCCGTGGGCTAAGGGCTGAAGGTGGGAGTCACGAACCCCTTCCTGCTAGAACCTCTCTCACCCTTTGTGCCCCATCTATTTATACCAGGTGGACAAAGCTGCTTCAGGGCTCCTAAGCATTGGCCTCTGCAAGGGCGACCGGCTGGGCATGTGGGGACCTAACTCATACACATGGGTGCTCATGCAGTTGGCCACCGCCCAGGCGGGCATCATTCTGGTGAGGAGGGTTTGGCCTAGCACAGCTGGGTATGTGGAGGGGCCATCATTGGCCCCAGAACTAAGCTACCATCTGACTGGTCTCAGACCAGGTGGTGCTTTCTCCTGAGGCTTGCTAAGGCGGCCCAAGGGTGTAGGGTGCTCCCTTTGCCCACACGGTGTTTCTGTGCCTCCTGGGGGTACAGGGGCAGCAGGAGGGACAGGATCTGCCTAGAAGACTGACATGTCCTTGCTGTCCCCACCAGGTGTCTGTGAACCCAGCCTACCAGGCATCGGAGCTGGAATATGCCCTCAAGAAGGTAGAAACCCTTCCTGGGGGAGGGACCCAGCTGGTGCCTGGCTCCTAAGCATTGGTTCCTAAGCATGGGGTGAAGGAGGGCACACACAAACAGTGATAATCACAGTCTGCCCTTCCTCAGGCTGCGTGGGTGGGAGAAGGTCTCAACTCTGTGGAGAGGATGGTTGGTCAGACATAGGCTGGTGTGTGTTGAGGTAGTACTGTCTATGAGTTGAGGTGCTTTCTGGGACATGATGTGTATGTGTTTCGGGGTGTGGCATGTGTGTGTGTCTTGGAGTGTAGTGCATATGTGTGTTGGTGGTGATATCTGTGTATTGGTATCTATGGATGTCCCAGGGTGTGCTGTATGTGTGTGTCACGGTGTGCATGTGTAAGGGTTGAACATGTGTGTATCAGAGGGTGTATCAGTGGTAGTGGTGAATGTGAATGAGAGAGATTAGTGTGGACCCCTCTAGCCCCCAGCCTAGGGTTTCCTGCTGACCATAGTGGGGTGACTCTTCTTCCACAGGTGAGCTGCAAAGCCCTCGTGTTCCCCAAACAATTCAAGACCCAGAGTTACTACAACATCCTGAAGCAGATCTGTCCAGAGCTGGAGTGGGCGCAGCCAGGGACCTTGAAGAGTCAGAGGTGGGTGTGTTCCAGTGTGGGGGCAGGGAGGGGCCAGCATGCAGCATCCCTGACTCCCTTGCCCCCTGCTCAGCCCCTGATTCACACCACCCTCCCCACCTCCAGGCTCCCAGACCTGACCACACTCATCTCAGTGGATGAGCCTCTGCCAGGGACCCTGCTCCTAAAGGACGTGATAGCAGCCGGCAGCTCAGAACAGCATATGGCCCAGTTCCGTTATACACAGAAGCTCCTGTCCTGCCATGACCCCATCAACATCCAGTTCACTTCGGTAGGGCAGAGGCCGCCAAGCACCAAGCCCAGGCTGCATGTGACCTCTGGTCCCATGATCCTTCTCTGGGAATGGGGAGACAGCAAAAGAAGTCAGGAGGGGAGACATTCTCTCCTGAGGCCAGCCCAAAGTCAAAGTCTTGGTGCCTTATCCTGGATGTCCTCTATACCCTGAGAAACATTAGGAACTGGTGTCCTTGTCCCATATCCCCCTTCCCCAGCTCTTGAAGGCAGGGGCAGATTCACTAAGCCATCACAGGTCAAGCTGGTGGAGCCTCATTCAACAGATGGGGAAACTGAGGCACAGAGAGGTAATCGGCCCAAGGCCACATGGCTAGTGGGGGGCAGAGTCCTCTGAGCCACCCAATGAGCAGCATGAGGACATTTCTACACATTTCTAACACCTAGTACAGCATGGGCACGTGGAAGACCTTTCATGAATATGTACTAAATGAATAACTGATGGACTAGGGTCAAGAATCCCAATTTCCTGACTTGCAGTCCAGAGCTCTTCTGCACAGGGGCCCAGGGTGGGAAGGAGATGGGGAGAAAGAAGCCAAGCTGACACCTGCTTGTCTTGCCAGGGGACAACAGGTAGACCTAAGGGCGCCACCCTCTCCCACTACAACATTGTCAACAATGCCAGCTTGATCGGGGAGCGCCTGAAAATGCACCTGAAGGTAAGGGGATGCTGGGGAAAGTACCCAGGGCAGAGCTGGCTGGCATCCCAAACCAGGAGGCAGGGAGAAGATGGCTTGGGCAGGAGTTGCAGGGCTTGGGGGGCTGGAGGGGCTGCCCCTGCTGGCTGGAGGAACTGGCTTCTGGGGCACTGGCTCTTTGACAGACCCAGCCTCTTGCTGCCCACTCCAGGAACCAGAGGAGATGCGGTTGATCCTACCCAACCCCCTGTACCACTGCTTGGGTTCCGTGGGGGGCACACTATTGAGTGCGATGTATGGTGCCACCCTTATCCTGCCCTCTCCGAGCTTCAGTGGCAAGATGGCGCTAGAGACTGTCAGCAAAGAGAAGTGAGCATTGGCAGACAGGCTATCCTTGGGCTGATAAGACCCTCCTAGTCCTCACTCCTGGCCCCTGGCCCCTTTCCAAGATGTCTCCTTCCTCCAGCAAGGAGAACTGGGGACAGGGATAGTTAGGGACCCCCAGGAAAGGACTGGTTCCTGCTTCCAAACAGTTTTTCCTACCTGTTACCCACAAGTTTCTGCCTTGACCTTTGTGGCAGTTTCAGGGTGGGGTGGGTGAGAAAGAGTTCCATTCCACTCGTAAGCCTAATTTTTAGATGCCCATACCTCCTTGTACAGGGGCTCCTTCCTGTATGGCACCCCTACTATGTTCGTGGACATTGTGAACCAGCCAGACTTCTCCAGTTATGACATCTCGACCATGCGTGGAGGTGGGGTGGGGCTGAAGGTGGCCAAGAGATGGGAGGGGGCTCTGTCTCTACTTTGCCTGGGACTCACCCCCCAAAAATGACGTGTACAACCTAGATAAGCTCCCAGTCTTCTATTTAGGGGATAAGAAGATGCTATAGAGAAGTGGGTGGGAGGGTGGCAAATCCCTAGGGTCTCTAGCAGACTAAGGCTGGGTGCTAGGTATAGGACCAAGTCCAGGGGCCGAGGAGAGAAGGGTATGTTCTTCCCTAAGATGAGCTGTAGGGGAAGGAGGTCCACTGGACCTGGAAAAGGGGTAATTCGTGTCAGCCCTCTCTCTGATTCAGGTGTGATTGCTGGGTCCCCTGCACCCCCAGAGCTGATCCGACTCATCATCAACAAGCTGAACATGAAGGAGATGGTGGTGAGTGGTGGCTGAGACATGGCTGCAGACAGGTGCAAGTCAGGCCTGGCCTGGGGTGAGAACAAACTGACAGGAGTGGTGATAAGTCCAGGCCAGATCTGAGGGAGACCCAAGAACGTGCTGTAGCCTCTTGGCCAACCCTCATGCTGGAGAGCAAATGTGGACAGTCTTATCTCAGCAGCAGCTAGTACATCATGGAGACAGGTGATGGGAGGAAATAGTGTTCACACATAAACTTATATTTATAGAAATCTGGGGACAACACAGCTTGGGACAATATGCAGCAAAGCACACGTGTCCTGCTAGAGTGTCCTGGAGGGCAAGGGGCCGGTGGAGTTGGGCTGTGGGCTTAAGTCTTTTTCTGGAAGCAAGGAGTGGACGAGGATCTGATGCTGGTTTCCAAATGGCAGGAAGAGGGGAGAAGAGGGAAGGACAATTCTGGAGGGGTGGCCATCCTGATGTCCACCCTGTCCAATCCGGAGGGACCTGGGAGTCTTGGTGACAGCTTCTCTGTGAGGCAGCAGGGTGGTGGGGCCAGGAATAATAGTTGGGAAAGGCACTTTATTCCCTCCTGGCCACCATGCAGGGGAGCTGGGTATGTGCTGGAGTGCCCAAGGCCTCCCTGGCAGGACATCTAGGTGTGGGCAGCTCTGTGCATCGGCAGAGGCTATGGGGAGAAGATGGGGTCAGGGTGGGAAGGTCAGTAGTATCTCCGGCATAGGGCAGAGGCCAGTCACCAGGACTGGCTGGGCCAGGACCTGCAGTGAGGAAAGGACCATCAGTCAGGACTCGTACAGCCCGTACAGGAGCCAGGTGATGGTTGGAAAGGATGGTGGGTGTCCTGGGAGTATCGTTTCCTCCTTTAGTGGTAGCCCCAGTCCTTCCCTCCTCTCCCTGCAGAAATGAAGGATCTGGGAGAGGGAATATCCTGGGATACCCTCCTCACTTGCTGGAAGCTCCAGAGAGGGACATAGGGGAACTGCCCACCTGTTTAATGGCGGCCGGCTTTCTTGGACCTCTTGGTAGGGAACTTGCAGCTGCGGAAGGCGGCTGTGTCCCGGATGTGTTGGCCCCTGAACTTGGCAGGTGAGCTGCAGGTGCCATCTGGGCGGGAGGCCTTGGCTTCCAACCACCTGGAGAAACAGAGAGTTGCTGACATCGGAGAAGAGATACTGAAGTGCTGGGATAGTGAGCCACGAAGCTGGGATGATGTGACCTCTGGATAGTCTGGAACTTATCCTCATTTCACAAATGGAGGCCCCCAGGGTCTCACACCTACTAGTAGCAGATCTAGTAGGTATGCAGAGGGTGTGTTAGCGCAGGGCCAGTTGTTTCCACTCCACCCATGGGGGTGGGTTCTGGGTGGGGGTGAAGGTATTCTCACCGTCGAAGTCCTTGAAGCTGGCAAGTACACTTCCAGGGGTTGTTGGTGAGTGTGAGGGTCTCCAGGCTGTCAAAGGGGAAGTTGGAGGGCAACTGGCTCAGGCGGTTGTTGTCCAGATGGACATGTTTCAGTGTGGTCACACCCACGAAGGCACCATCTGAGAACTGGGGGACAAGATGGGCATGAGTGAGCGTTCCCAGCCCTGGTCCCTGTCCTCTCTGAGCCCTTTCACCTCAGAGGGGTAGGGTCCCTCCCTGAACATAAATTATGGCTCCCTGAGAAGCTTCACAGTTTTTAAAGCAGTTATCACAGATGATCTCGTTCACACAAGCACCCTTTGAGATGAAACCAGTTGCCTGTCGAGTCATCTTTGACTCATGGTGACCCCATGTGTGTCAGAGTAGAACTGTGCTCCATAGAGTTTTCAATGGCTGACTTTGTTAGTAGACTGTCAGCCTTTCTTCTGAGCCACCTCTTGGTGGACTTGAACCTCCAACTTCTTGGTTGGCAGCCAGATGTGCTAACCATTTGCACTACCCAGGGACTAGATTCTTTGAGATTTCCACTATACAGATGGGAAGCTGCAGACTCTAAGAAGTTAAGTCCCTTGTGTTGGGTCATACCAGCCAGTAAACAGTAGCTACAGTAAACACCCAGTGCTCTTCCCCTGGCACCAAACTCCCTGCACAAACACAGGGACTAGGGAGGCAGCCAGGGCTTGGCCCCAGCAACCCAAGCTGGCACATGGAGAACCTAGTCACTGTCTGGTGGTGTGGGCAGTAGGCCCAGGCTTCCCACAGCCCCAGGGTCCTGGGACTTCCCCCGCTCTGTCCTCATGGCTCCCTCACTGCCTGCAAGCCACTATTTGTGGAGCCACCCTGGTAGAGACTTGGGTCAGGTTGGACGGCTCCAGAGGAAATATTCTATTGGTGCCTACATCTTGGCCCTGGCGCCACAGTTCCTGCCTGTTGTCCCCTGCCACAAATCAGCCCTGATTCCCAACTCTGCTGCCCACTGAAAAGCCACTCTGGCACTGGTGGGACATACGAGACTCTGACGTCAGCTGGGGAGGGAGCCAGGGCTGAAGAAGGCTCAGAAAGGCTCCTCCACCCAAAGAAAATTTGTCTACTGTCCAGGTTTACTCTGTCCTCCATCTCCAAGCCTGTGCCCTCGCCTGTGCTTAGGTTGGAGACATGGTTCTGTGGTGACCAGACTGTCCTGAAGACTGTCTCCTCCACCTTGCCCTGGCCTCCATCCAGACCTCCTAGACAAAACCCCTCACAGCAGGGTGGTTTTCCAGTCCCAAGGAGGGTTCTGCCAGGTGGTGGGCATCCCAGGAGAGGGAGGGCTGAGGATGTAGCCAGGAGATGTCTGGTGACCAGGGTGGGCAAAGGGCAGTCAGCAGTCTAGGGGAAAGGGAGGCTCAGCCAGTCTTCCCTGGGGAGACACCTGGGGTCCTGCGCCAAGATTGACAACAGTCCTCAGCACTTGCCTTTGGCCCTTTATGGACCTCATGGGTACAGAGCCTACAACCTGGTCAAGCCTCTGGTCCCCAGGCCCTGACTTGCCCAACTCCGTTCAAAGGGTCCTGAGGACTGCAGTGGATCTGTAGGGGGGAGGGGTGGCCAGGACAGGGGTTTGCCAGGGCCACTAAGGGGTGTGGGGGAGCGTCTTTCTCAGGTATCTGCTCCCCTCTCGCTCCCTTAGCCCCCCACCCCACCTAAGCACACATGCACAGCCCCCACCAGGAACAGGGTCTCTTTGTGGGCCTGATTTGCTCAGCTTCTCTGGAAGGCTCCTCAATAAACAAACCTTCCTTTATGGGGTGGTAGGTTTACTGGAGACTGGGGAAAAACAGTGGGGAGGGCCAGAAGGCCTAACAGGAAGAGGTGCTGCTACCCACAGTGGGAGGTTTGGGGGCACTGTAAATGCCTCCTAAGGAGATCATCTATGGGGCCAGGGAAGCCCCCAGTTCCTTTTATAAGTGTGAATCCTAGCAGGGCAGTAGCTGAGACTAGGGACAGAGGCAGTTGGGCAGGGATCAGTGGGGTGTGGCAAGATAAGGGACAAAGGTGGCAGAGCCCCTCACCCAAGATAACCAGAGGGGCAGAGGGAATCTGGGAGGAGAGGGGGCAGTGGCCCTGGCTCTCTGCGTCTCCAGGAGGGGAAGAAGGAGCCAAGGGAAAGCAGTGCAGCCAGGAGCTCACCTTCTCCAGGTGGGTATTGTCCAGCCAGAGGGTCTCCAGGTATCTGCCAAAGGACTGGAAGGCATTGTCAGGGATGCTCTTCAGGGGGTTGTGGGACAGCTTCAGCTCCTCCACCACCCGCAGCTTGCTCAGAGCAGCAGAGGGGTAGCTGGACAGCTGGTTCCTGTCCAGGTGGAATTTGGCAAGGTTCTCCACGTCGTCCAGAGCGCCAGGCTGCAGGGAGCTGAGTGCATTTTCCGACAGGTAGAGCCAGCGCAGGTCCTTGGCGCCCTGGAAGGCACCCGCGCGCAGTTCGCGGATCTTGTTGTTGTTGAGCTGCAGGATGAAGAGGTTGACCAGCGGGGAGAGCAGCCCCCGGGGCAGCTCAGTCACCTTGTTGTGGTCCAGGTAGAGGTAGGTGAGCTCAGTCAGGTCTTCGAAAGCGCCGGCATGCAGCACGCGGATATCGTTGTGGGACAGGTACAGGTAGATGAGCTGCTTGAGGCCTCGGAAGGCACCAGCGGCCACCTCACGGATCTGGCAGTGCTGCAGGTGCAGTGACACAAGGTTCGGCATGGCCCGGAACGAGTTGGCAGCCAGCACTGGGAAGTTGTTGCGCTGTACATTGAGCAGCTTGGTCTTCTCTGACACCTTAGGGATCTTCTGCAGCCCCACCTTGTCACAGATGACATGCTGCAGGTCACCGTGGCAGTGACAGTTCTGGGGGCAAGCGGCCAGCGCCGGCAGAAGGCCGGCCAGGAGGCCGAGGCTGAGCAGGAGCAGCGGGCGGGCCATGGCCAGGAGCCTGGGCCGGTGCTGGGCAGCGGCGAGTCCTGGGCCTTCGGTCTCCTGCCCTACTTATACCACGGCCCTGACCGCAGCCGGCAGCCTGAGCCAGCTACTACGTGGAACATCAGGGCCACCGGGTTTAACCCCCTCACGCCCAGAGATGCGCCCCCACTCAACAGAGGACCCTTCCTCCCCCAGCTGGTGACTTGGTGGGCTGGGATGGTGGGCCCAGGCCCTTGTCCCTCCGACCCTGTCCCTCATCCCTCCCACTCTCAGATCCTGCTTCTCTCCCTACCTCCTTTCCCCATGTTTTTCTTTTTTTTGCAGAAGGGATTGGACGGGTAGACATGGGTGTGTCTAGAGGCCTGAGTTCACACCAGAGGAAGGAGGCAGTTCCCTAAACTTGAATTTATTTGTTTGCTCAACTTTGAGCCTCCACGCGCCCCGCCCCCCAATACCCTCTCGGCCAGGGTTGGGGGGAGGAAGTGGGGCCGGACGTGAGTCCCGCCACTGTGGTCAGCCAGCTGCCTGTTTTAATGGGGCTCTTGTGCGGCGCCGAAGCAACCAGCTCTGGCAGCAGCTCCCACGTCTGACTAGGCCCTGCAGAGCCGACCCTAAGGAGCTGAGAGCTCCTTCTCTACCCTGGATTCACCCCCAGCTCCTCTCAGCCATGGGCTTGAGTTTCTGCTCTCTCCTGCCCCCCACCCTAATCCTTTGCTCTAAGCGAACCAGAAAAGTGGGGAGCAAGCTCCATCATTCATAAGCACACCTGGAGACCACAGGCACCCAGTCAGGACAACTGAACATGCACAATTACAACCCCCCTTCTTAATCTCCCCAAAATATCCCTGTCCCCTCATTCCCACCCCCAGTGGTCAGGACCCACCCTGAGGGGTCTCTCAGGGTGGCGGTCTGAGTGGCGCCGAGGTGTACTTGGTGGATGCCACACCCAGGCAGTGCCCCCAGGACAGTGGGGTGGGTGAGCAGGCGGGTTCCTGGCTACCAGAGACCAGCATTGGACCACTCTCCAGCTGCCAGACCATAGGTCCCGGGCAGCCCGCCCCACCCAGCCAGGCCTCCGTGTGCCCGCTTACCAGCCCCAATGTTCAGACTCCTGTGGAAAAGGGGAGCGGGTAGATGGGCAAGATCACAGCTCTGTTCCCAGGGACAGCTCTGGGCTGTCTGCAGGGGGTATTGTCAATGTTGGGAACAGGGGGTTGGGGAGATAACCCAGGACTCGAAGGCTGAGCCAGACCCCGGCTGTGCACATGCCATGCCAGCTGACATGGGGTTGTTCAGACAAAGAATCTGGTGTCTTTGCTAAATGGAGGGGAGAGGAGGAGGGGACCTACAAGTACAGGGCAGCTAGTCCCTCTCCCCTCACTCAATACCCAGATATAGACACCTGGGCCCAGGGCCTGCTCCTCTCCCAAGCCCCCTTTCCCCTTTGCCTCTTTGTGGGGTCATTCTTGGCTCAGAACATTCCGTGATGGTATTTGGGTTCCTCCAAGCCTGGCTTCTGGTTTTTCTGCTGCGAAGGATGTTCCAACCACTAGCAGTGTGTGTGTGTGTGGGGGGGGGATGGGGGCGTGCCGCTGGGTTTTTAAACTCCATCTTTGCTTGTATTTTTATTTTGATGGCAATAAATTCACAGGAAACCCTCCAGAACTGTGGAGAGGGCATCCACCCCAAGGCCAGGCATTTGTCCCAGGTTTGAGGGGTGGCGTTGTCTGTACTGCTCCCAGCCAGGCCAAGGCAGACTGGCTTTCTCATCAAGTTAAGGGGACCTTTGGTTTGGAAGGGAGGGGCAGGGCTGTTGTGGCCTGAAATCGGGAAGCAGGGCTAAGGTGGCCTGGGGATGGGGAGAGAAGTCAGGGCACTGGTTATGTTGGCAGTCACAGGCCAGTGGCTGGCTACTCTAGGGAAACAAGAAGACTGAGAGACAGTGAGCTCTGGCAGGAAGAGAACGGTTTCCCTGCTCTCCGTTTTATTTCAGACCTGGGGCTGCTGCAGGGATCTAGTCTACGCAATGGCCTAGGGCCTCTGCCTCCTGATCCCTGCCCCTCACATCTCAGTTCTCACCGTTCAGCTCTTCCACTCTCCCCTTGCTTTCATAGTTCCTCCTCATTTTTCCCAGGGTAGCTCACCCCAGCCCTCTGCAGTTGCTGAGCTCCCTCCAAACACACATCCCTGACCCTCTAGGTTGCTTATGGAACCACAGAGAACAGTCCCGTGACCTTCATGAGCTTCCCTGATGATACTTTGGAGCAGAAGGCAGAAAGTGTGGGCAGAATCATGCCTCACACAGAGGTAAGCCACTGTGATGTGAGGTCAGTCCCCAGGCCATAAGCTGGCCCCTCGCCTCAGCTGAAGTTCACTTCTAATTTGAGATCCACGCAACTCACTAGAGGTTCAGGGTGTCTGCTGGGCCTGGCCTGGGCTTTCTCTGTGGGCTGAAGCATGAGAAGGGGAGAGAGCTGGAGCAGTGGCCCTGAGCCACTGCCCGCTAAACTTCTCCTCAGTCTCCCTTCCTGTCTGGGGCGTGTTTTTGCCAAGCCCCACTGTCTGTTTCTAAGCAGCCAGGGCAGCCTCACGGAGGAGCAAGAGCAGAGACATTTTTCCTACCCAGCTGTCTCCTTCACAGACACCTGCCTCTCACTTCAGCAGAGTTCCCCTGTGGCTTAGGCATAAACGCTTAATTCCCCAGGCAGCCTGGCCCTTTGGGGGTCCCTTGCTCCTCAAAGGCTGACCCAGAGCATCTCTCAGTCTCAAGTTCACAGCCGTGACTCGCTTCCTGTTCCAACACTAGTACTTTTATGCCAACCCACACCTGCTTCCCCTGAGCCCCTTGCAACCCACGAGTGTGGTACAGCTGCTTCCCTGGGACTAATCACAGTGCTGGTGTGAAGCTCTCCTGCCCTGTTCCCTGTCTAGTCTGGGGAGGAGTGAATGTGCAGTGCCATTAGCCCCTGTACATCTGTCCACCTGTTCCTGCCACTCTCACAGGAATGCCCACCCATCAGGAAGGCAGGGGTAGGTGCAATGTCCCCCATTTTGCAAATCCACACCAAGGCACATAGAACCTAAGCTTTCCCTGGCCCTCTGCCTCTCTGCTGTCTCTCCTAGTCACATGGCACTCCCATGCAACCCTCTCTGGCTTCCTCATATGCTGTTTACTGGGACGTGAGAAGAGACTTGCTTCTCTTCTACAGTTTATAATTCCTCAGCTGGCCTGGCCCTCCTCGAGCCTCTCTCTCTGTGGCTGCTCTCTGCCCACACTCACCCTCTCTGCTCACTCCATTTCCTCGGACCCCCTAGTCTGGGCCTTAAGTATTCTTTCCTGTCCAGCTCAATTCTCTACCTGGTGATGGATATCTACTCTGGCCTTTGTCTCTCTTCCCTCAATAGCACTCATTATTGGGGAGAGGGAAGGCACAGCTCCCCACTTCCTCAAGGGCCCCCCTATCCCCAAGTGAGGGGATTGGAGGCCCCACCCTGAAGCCACCCTGTCCCAGGCCCAGATTGTGAACCCAGACACCAGTGCGCTGGTGGAGCTGAACCAGCCTGGGGAGCTGTGGATACGAGGCTACTGCGTCATGCTGGGCTACTGGGACGATCCCCGGAAGACTGAGGAGGCAGTCAGACAGGATAGGTGGTACCGGACAGGGTAAGAGGGCAGGGTGGGCTGGAGATTTGGCTGCTGCAGGAAGGTTGGGGGTCCCAAGGATGAGCTGGGAATATTAAATGAGGGCAGGAAGTTCATGCATGCCAAGATGGGCCCTTCACGTTTGGAGACTGAATTTCCAAAATATGTAAAATGGGGTTAGTCCTATGTAGGGTTCCTGGCATGATCAAACATAGTACAGGTGTGAGAGCTAGGACAGTGCACTGCACTAGTGCCCCAATTTACTCTCAAGATTTAGTCACTCACTATGCACCTACAGGGTATCAGCAGAGTCCCTCAAATTCAGCAAACTCATGACATCAAGTCAATTCCAACTCATAACCACCACCATTGGGTTTCCAATCTTTATGGAAGCAGACTGCATCCTCTTTCCTCTGCAGAGCAGCTGGTGGGTTTGAACCACAACCTTCCAATTAGCAGCCAAATGCCTTAACCACTGCACCACCAGGACTCCTTAGCAGAGTCCCTGGGTGGCACAAATGGTTAAGTGCTTAACTACTAACTGAAAAGTTGGTGCTTCAAACCCACCCAGAAGAAAGGCCTGGCAATCTGCTTCTGAAAGGTCACAGCCTTGAAAACGTTGTGAAGTGCGGTTTTACTCTGCAACATACAGGGTTGCCATGGGTCAGAATCAACTCAACAGCAACTAGTGTTTTGGTTTTTATGTGCCAGCATGATTCTAGATGCTGGTGGTCCAGCCACCAGCAAGATGAGTTGGACCGTGCTCACTCTTCCCACATGTCTGGCAGAAGGCAGATGATGAACAAGATCATTTCAAACACTAATAAACGCCAGGAAAAAAAAATAGGGTTATAAAAGGGAAAGTGGCTGTGGTGGGAAAGGGGCTTCCCTTAGATTGGGTGTTCAAAGAAGACCCTTGAAGGGGGATACATTTGAGCTAAGACATCATTGATTTAAAAAAAAAGAAGTCAACCATGAAAAAATATATAGATATATTTACAGAGACAGAGAGAGTATGTTAGAAGTATTGGTTTATTTAGTAGTTCTGGTGGTGCGGTGGCTAAGACATTTGGCTACTAACCAAAAGCCTGGCAGTTCAAACCCACCACTCCCTGGGAGAAAGATGAGGCAGTCTGCTTTTGTAAAGATCTACAGCCTTGGAAACCCTATTGGGCAGTTCTACTCTGTCCTATAGATTGGCTATTAGTTGGACTCTTTGACAACAGGTTGTAGCCTGTCTCCTCCACTAGACTCTAAGTTCAAGGCCAGGCATCTTGCTCACACTGCATCCCCCAGAGCTTCAAGCAGTGGAAGACCCAGAGTGGGCACTTGTTTGATGAGTGAGAGTGAGAGAGCCCACTGAGGCAGAGTGAGGGGCCACGCTTAGGCTTTCCTTGCAGAGACATAGCTGTCATGGACAAGGAAGGCTTCTGCAAGATTGTGGGCCGCTCCACGGACATGATCATCCGGGGCGGAGAGAACATCTACCCCGCGGAGCTCGAGGACTTCTTCCACAAACACCCACAGGTGCAGGAGGTGCAGGTAAGGTGTCCAGCCCAGGGGAGCCCCCGGGAACAGGAACGTGGATGAGGCCAGTGATGTCTGGTGTTTGACCTGGCAGGTAGTGGGTGTGAAGGACCAGCGGATGGGGGAGGAAATCTGTGCCTGCATCCGGCTGAAGAGTGGGGAGAACACCACGGCTGAGGAAATCAAGGCTTTCTGCAAAGGGAAGGTGGGAGCCTCAGCCCCCTGCCCCAAACCCCCACGGCACTGACTCTGCTTGGTTCTTCACTCATCTCTCCTTGACACCCATGACCCTACTCACCCTCACACTTGCTCTTCCTCCCTCTGGTCTGCAGATCTCCCACTTCAAGATTCCCCGCTACATCGTGTTTGTCAACCAGTACCCCCTCACACTCTCAGGAAAGGTGGGTAAGGTGGAGGAGACTGTGGAGGGACAGGGCAGCCTGGGGCCTGGGGACCCAGGTATAGGAGGTCACCTGCCAGAGCCATGATTCCCTCAGTGATGGACAAGAGAGTGTGTGAGGAGTAGTAAGTAGGGTGGTAGTAGGGTAACCAGCTCCTCAGTGCATTCTGGTTTGCCGTGACTTTCCTGGTTTTAGCACTAAAAACCCGAGAAGCGCCTCAGTCCCAGGCTCACTGAGATGGTGGTCACCTTATCTGGCAGGGGCCCCAAGCCTGGCTCTCACTCCTCTCTCTTTCCTCTAGATCCAGAAAGGCAAACTTCGAGAGGAGATGGAACAGCATCTGAAACTGTGAAGAAAGGAACAGGGTGGGGAAGGGGGTCCTCCCAGGCCCTCCTCCTGCCCATCCCTCCCACTCCCCTGTCTTTGTGATTTGGCATAAAGAGCTTCACTGTTTCCTTTGGCTGGTCTTTTGCTGGTGTGCTGTTGGCAGCTGTTGGGGGATGGAGCAGGGAAGAGCCTGAAGGGAAACTGGCATTTTCTTTTTTTTTTTATTAGGATTTGGGTGAAGATTTACAGAGTAAATTCACTTTTCATACAGCAGTTCACATATACTTTGTCTCATGTCATTGACCAAAATTTACAATGCAGCAGCTCCCCTCTCACCTCCTCCCCACAGTTACCTCCTCCCAGTGTCCATCCCTTCATACTCCTCTGCACCCTGAGCTATCTCCCTGTGCGTAAGCAGCCCTTCCTTCTCCCATGATTGTTCTCTCCAGGGCGTGTGTCTATGTGAGGTAAATGTTTAACTCACATGCCTGTACTTTGTTTGCTGGAAACCACAGTTGTGGGTTCAATTCTAGACCTGAAGGGCAGCTAGGGGCCATAGTCTCAGTGGTTACACCAGGCTCCATTGGACCAGCAAACCTGGTCCCCACCTTCTTTTTTTTTTTTTGCCTCCAAATGATTTTGAGTTTTGTACCACATTGTTCTCCCTCTTTATGCAGGATCTCCTACATCCCTTCCAAGTGGATGGCAGTGGTAGCTGGGCACCATCTAGTTCTTCTGGTCTCATAGTTGTATAGGTTGCAGATCGGATGGTGTACCAGTCACTAGGACTGATTGTTTCCATTAATTTTGGTTTTCTTCTTTCTTCTTGACGAGGAGAGACCCGTTGTTGCATCTAGATGGCAGCTTCCTAGCGTTTAAGGTTCCAGTCGCTACTCGCCAAAGTAGGTGGAACAATGTTTTGTATAGTATGTTATGCCAATTGAGCTTGATGTCCCCTGTGACTGTGGTCCCAAGCCCGCAGGATCAACTACTCGGTCCCTCTGGGTAGCTGGCTGTGACCAAGTAATGACCATAACCTTGCCCCTTGTCAGCTCTACTATACACCTGGGAATTCTGATCATTCACATGAACTTATAGGCCCATTGTCTGCCAACCCTATATATGGTCTTGGATACACTCCCCATTTAGACATACCTAATTGTTTAGCTTGTTCACCCATCTATCCGTCCCTATACCCATGTTTGCTTTCACTGACAACTCAGTACTGTATATGCAAAGGGGTTCATGTTTGTTGTCTGTACTGCCCATGTAACTCTCTATGTCTTTCTCATCCTCAATGCTGCCATATTGGTCACTCACATTTGGTACATTGCCCTTCTCTTCACCCAAATCAATATTTATCCTCTATCTATCTAACAGCATTCCCTCCCCTTCCCTCCCACCCCTGGTAACCAACAAAGAAAATGTCCTCCAATAGATAAACCTTTCCTTAACTTTTACAATAACGGACTAATACAATATTTGTCCTTTTGTGACTGACTTATTTCGCTCAGCATAATGTCCTCCAAGTTCATCCACGTTATGCAGTGTTTTGCAGATTCTACAGCGTTGCATAGTATTCCATTGTGTGAATGTACCAAAGTTTGGTTATCCATTCCTCAGTTGTTGGACATCTAGGTTGTTTCCAAGTTTTGGCTATTGTAAATAGTGCTGCGATGAACATCGGCGTGCATATATCTGTTCTTGTTATGGCTCTCACTTCTTTAGGGTATATACCTAGTAATGGGTTGGCTGGGTCAAATGCTATTTGTATTTCCAACTTTTGAAGGAATCACCATACTGCTTTCCACAATGGTTGTACCATTTTACAGTCCCACCAGCAGTGTATGAGAGTCCCAATCTCTCCACAACCTCGCCAGCATTTGTTATTTTCTGTCTTGTTGAACTTTGCTACTAGTGCTGGAGCAAGATGGTATCTCATTGTTGTTTTGATTTGCATCTCTCTAATAGCTAATGATCGTGAGCATTTCTTCATATGTTTGTTGGCCGCTTGAATATCCTCCTTGGTGAAGTGTCTATTCATGTCTTCTGCCCATTTTTTAATTGGATGAAACTGGCATTTTCAAACCTCCTCATCCTTGTCAAAGGAGACCTGGTGGCACAATGGTTAAAGACTTGGCTGCTAACCAAAAGGTTGGTGGTTCATATCCACTGAGCAGCTCTGCAGGAGAAAGACCTGGCTACTATCTGCTCCCATAAAGATGATAGCCTAGAAAACTATATGGGACAGTTCTACATATAGGGTTGCAATGAGTCAGAATTGACTCCATGGCACCTAACAACATTCCTTATCAACAATGGTACTAACCATTTTGGTGCAGTTTCTACTCACTTTGGTCCCTGGACGGCACAAATGGTTTCTCCTTGACCACTAACCAAAACGTTGGCAGTTCAAACCCACCCAGCAGTGCCACAGAAAACAGGCCTGGTGATCTACTTCCTTAGAGATTACAACCAAGAAAACTCTATGGAGCAGGTCTGCTCTGTAACACACAGGGCTGCCATAAGTTGGAAGTGGCTTGACATTCATTTAATTCTTTTTCACACTATTGACAGATTAGTTAGGCAAGAAGTATTTTTAAATAAATGTACATACATACACAATATATATATTTAAAATAAACAATTCACATACCATATGATTTACCCATTTACAGTACACAATTCAGTGGCTTTTCATGTATTCATAGATATGTGTAATCATCACAACAATTTCAAAACATCTGCAGTTCCTTAAAAAGAAACCCTGTACTTGGGGCTCCCCTGATGGACAGGGCCAGAAAAAGCAGGCTACATAGCTTGACCCCAGAAATCAAAACAACTGAGTTCCAAAAGGCACATAGGTTCCCAGCTCACAGAGATGGAAATGTTCCACCGGCCCCCAGCAATAGCTGCAGCCTCCTCTCTACCTTTTAAGAAATGATGCATGTTTAGCATCCTCCAGATGCGGGGCACTATACTAGGTGCTTCCATATACATTTTTCTCTTGAAATCTTCCCAACAATTCTATAAAGTAGGCATTAGCCCCACTTCACAAATGAAGAAACTGAAACCCAGAGAGGCTCAGGAACTTGCCCAAGGTCACATAGCTAGGATTAGAACCCCAGCTGTCTGACTTGATGCCAAATCCCATAATTTTCATCAGAAAGTTCTTCAGGGGTCTGTTTTACCAGCCCCTCAACTGCACCTCGTTTCTCCCACATACACCATCTCCAATTCCCCTTCCAGCAGGGATTTCCTGACCCAGGAGATGAAAGCCCACTCTCCTGACCAAGCAGATACCCCCTGGCATTTTCTGCCCTGCAGGATGCAAACGGTGTGCTCTCCTGGCCCACTGACTCCCAGGCTCTTAGACCACGCTCACAGCGTTTAGCACGCTGGCCTGGTACCCAGCTGGTGTTGAATCATAGCGACCCCTCCTTGGGTTTCCGAGGCGGTATCACTACAGAAGTAGATTGCACAACCTTCTTTCCCAGGAGGGGCTGATAGGTTTGAACCGCCAGCCTTCTGATTAGAAGTCAAGTGCTTTAGACATCAGGCCACCAGAGCTTCCCTTTTTTCTTTTCTTCTTCTTTTTTTTTTTTTTGGTTTTGGCCTGTCGTGGTTTGTTGTTTTCAGACTGCAACCGGGTTTTAATTCACCTCCCTGTCTCCAGCGCCCAGCTCTGAGTCAGGCGCTTAAGAAAGTGAAGCAACTGATTGAATGAACCAAGAGTTCCTGGATGGGTCATGGAACTCACTCAGGACAGGGTGCTAAAAGGCAGGGAGTCCACCGCACTCCTGTCTGGGAAGATGACCTACGGTACGTAGCCGGGAGGACTGCGGTACCCAGCAGGTGGCGTCGCAGATCCGAAGCCTCAAGCTCTCCAGGCATTTCCTCAGGCGAGGGGCGGTGCGCGCGCGGTTACGCAGTCCCTCCTCCTTCCGCCGGCGTGTCCTACCCGGGCCGGCTCAACCCCGCTAACACGCTTACGCTCTGGGCACATTGGGCTCGGGTTCTTACCCGGTGCATCAGGCCAAGTGCCATAATGCTCCCCCGGGTCCGGATCCGCGACTGGGTGGCAGCGGCCAAAGCTGCTCAGAGGCGCCACCGAGCGGAAGACGCCGAAAGACCCAAGAATCCTGTGCTCCAGAGCCAGTGCGCGGCGCTGTATGTCCACGTGAGTGTGTGAGGCGGAGCTCGCGGGGCTTGTCCTGGGCGGTCCAGGACCCAGGTGGCGGCCTATCACGCTGTGAGCCAACTTGCTTTCCTCGCCCTCAAACGAGGTCTGGGATAGTACCCAGTGCCTTGCTAGGGAGGTCCAAAGACCTGAGGTTCATTTGCTTTCTGAGCCTGTTTTCTCATCCTGAAGTGGGCCTCATAATGCTAGTCCGACCTGCTCTGTGTAGTTGAGCTTCTCAGATCTCATTATCACTATTGACGGCCCTGCGGTGGGTAGAGGCCAGAGTACGACTGAATCTTGAAAATGGCGTGGGTAGCCCGGGCCCACTTCTCACCCTGTCCACACACTGTCCCCAGTGGCCGTACTGTGAGAAGCGCTGCAGTTACTGCAACTTCAACAAGTACATCCCCCGTGGAGTGGAGGAGGCGGTCGTTAGGAGCTGTCTGGTAACCGAGGCTCAGACACTGCTGCAGCTCAGCGGGGTGCGGCGGTGGGTACTAGGGGCTCTAGGCGGGGTCTTGGGAATTATTTGGGTGGGGTGGGGTGGGGTGGGGTGGGGTGATGGGTAGCTCAGGTCTAAGCATCCAGAGGGCTCCCCCAGGTCTCATCCTCTCCATTTTCTCCCCCTAGTGTGAATTCTGTGTTCTTTGGTGGGGGCACCCCCAGCTTGGCCAGTCCCCACACTGTGGCAGCTGTCCTGGAGGCAGTGGCTCAGGCAGCCCACCTGCCCGCTGGTGCAGAGGTCACATTGGAGGCCAACCCTACTTCATCCCCAGCCTCCAGGTTGGCAGCGTTTGGAACAGCAGGGGTCAACAGGCTGTCCATTGGCCTCCAGGTAACTATCTCACTCATCCACATTGTCCAAATGTGTCCAAATCTTCAGTGCTGTCTTCTCTCTGATCACATTCATTCATTGAGCAGTTACTGAGTTTCTTCTGGGTGCCAGGATGCAGTCAGTACACAGTAGGCACTGAAAAGTGTATGGTGATGCTTTTGTAAATACTTTATCTGCTGTTGCGCTAAACCATCAGCCTCTTTGTTCATCACTGTATTGCAGACCTCCACCATAGCACTTAGCACATAGTATCAAAAAAGCAGTTGCTCCAGAGTCTACTCATCAAACTCATCCAAGTTATCATGGCAACCCATGTGGCACGTAGCAGGTGCTCAAAAATAGCTTGTAACATGAATGAGTGGAAACACAAGGGGGACACAGACACACAGTCCAATCATTGAAGCATGGTGAGTGCTGCCTATAAAGGGTCTCTACGAAGGACTTTCAGAGTGTAGACTGAAGGGCATCTCAACATTGAGAAATCAGGGAAACCTTTCTGGAGGAGGTGATGTTTGAAGGAGGAGGAGAAGTTCACCAGGTGAGAGGGTGAGGGAGAATAGCCTTCCAGGAAAAGACACAGGATATCACAGAGCCTTGTACATTTTAGGGGAGAGGCTGGAGACAGAGCTGAAGGGAGGACTCCAAAGCCTTCAGCACCATAGTAAGGAGTTTGGGTTTTATCTTAGGGCGCTCTTGAAGGTTTTTAAATAGAGGAAAACATAATTCCATCAGATTGACCCTTAGTATTTCCATATCCAGAATTGCCCTACTTTCTAGTGTACCTATCATTTATTACAGGGCATAGGGTCATGGGCTTTGTCATGATAGGATGTACTGAAAGAGACATATCATTTCTGAGATAGTCTTGCCCAAAATGCATATCTTGAATCTAATTGTGAGAAGATACCACAAATGTTTGAAAATGTCAGTGTCATAAAAGACAAAGGCAGAGGGTCTAGACTAGATTAAAGGAGACCAAAGAGACAGTGACACCTGAATGCATTGGGTAACCCTCGGGTGATCCTGGATTGGTGTGGAAGGAAGAAATGACAGACATGACTACAGTAGGCGTTATGGAGACAGTTGGTCAAATTTGAGTATGACCGTGTATTAGATAATGGCATTGTATCAATGTTATATTTCCTGAACTCGTGTAATTGGATTGTGATTGCATAAGAGAATGTTCTTGTTCTTAGGAAATATGTACTTAAATATGTAGGGATGAAAGGGTACAAGATCTTTAACTGTGTGGTCCAATACGGTAGCCACTATTTAAATTTTGTGGCTTTTGAAATGGGTTGATTACATTTCTTTACTTATTTAGGTTGTATGGGAACAGCATTAGCAGCTGCTCATTTTTTAAAAAATATATATCATATCACATTTGCCAATTCCGCTTTTTTCAGGTGTACAGCTTAGTGATATCAGTTATATTATTGGTTGTGCATCCATTCCCATTAATCAATGCCAGATATCCCATCACCTAAACAGAAGTTCACTGCTTCCTAAACAATGGTTTGAATTTGTGAATTGCATTTAAATAACCACATTTCAGGTGTTCCCCAGCTTGCAGATAGGTGGCTACTGTGTTGGACTGTGCAGATATAAAACATCCTGTCATCTCCGGAAGTTCTTTTGGACAGGGCTGGTCTATAACTTACTTTCAAATAGTTCAACATAACAACAATAATATATGTGTATTTTTAGAGAGAAACAAAGCATGTGGCAAACTGCTGTTGGTGAATCCAGTGAAAGTGTTTAAATACTTTTTTTTTCAACTGCTCTGTAGGTTTGAAATATTTCAAAAATATATATCTATTTTTTTTTTTTAAAAAAGGCTGTTAGCTTTAGAGGCCCCAAAACAAAACAAAACCCACTGCCATCGAGTCAATTCCAACTCATAATGACCCTATGGGACAGACTAGAACTGCCCCATAGGGTTTACAAGGCTGTAAATCTTTACAGATGCAGACTGCCACATCTTTCTCATGGGGAGCAGCTGATGGGTTTGAACCACTGACTTTCTGTTAGCAGACAAGCACTTTAATCACTGTACCACCTGTTTAGAGTAAGACAGGGGTAAATTCTAGGCCTGACTTTTTAGTTGTATGGCCTTGGGTGAATTATCGCAGTAACTTAGTCTCCTTGTCTGTAGAATGGAGCTAGCATCAGAGGGCTATAAGAATTAAATTAGAGACCTCATAAAAGTGCATGGCACATGGTGATCCTTCAGTGAGTGGCAGGCCTTCATCCTGGCTTGACCAGCCTATATGCTTGTCTCCCAGCTCTCTGCTGTGCCCCACGTTTGCTTGATTCTTTGTCTACAGTAAGGCCGAACTGTTGCTATTGCCGTCTGGGCTGACCTACATGCTTACACGCAACCCTCTCCCCAGTCCCTGAATGACACTGAGCTCCAGCTGCTGGGGCGGACTCACTCAGCTAGCGAGGCTCTGCGAACTCTGGCGGAGGCCCGGCGCCTCTTCCCTGGATGCGTCTCTGTGGACCTGATGCTAGGGCTGCCAGCACAGCAGGTGGGGCCGTGGCTGGGACAGCTGCAGGAGCTGTTGAACCACTGTGACGACCACGTCTCCCTCTACCAGCTGTCCCTGGAGCGGGGTACTGCACTTTTCGCCCAGGTGCAGCAGGGGGCCCTGCCTGCCCCTGACCCAGAGCTTGCCGCTGAGATGTACCAGAAGGGACAGGTAGTTCTACGGGATGCTGGCTTCCACCAGTATGAGGTCTCCAACTTCGCCCGGAATGTGAGTCCTGGGGCTGAGGACTGAAAGTAGGCAATGGGCAGGTTGAGGTGTGACCAGGAATGGTGGCCCTAGGGGAGAGAAGTCTCTGCTGGGTCCTTTCAGGGCCTGAGATGGTGGGATAGTCTAACCAGGGCCCCTTCTTCTCTTCCCTCTGCACTGACTATTCCCTCCTTCTCCACAGGGGGCGCTCAGTACCCACAATTGGAACTACTGGCAGTGTGGTCAGTACCTTGGCATTGGTCCTGGTGAGTCTCCTGTGCTGTGATGGGACTATAAAAGGGATGACTCAGGAGAGGCATGTCATGGGGCCTGCTTGTGATCTCGGGCCACCTACTTAACGTCCCCAAGCCTCTGTTTACTCACCTGTCAAGTGTGGCAAGCAATAATACCTACCTCGGAAGATACATTTTAAAATGTTAATAAGGAAATCTGGTGGCGTAGTGGGTAAGGCACTTGACTGCTAACCGGAAGGTGAGTGATTGAAACCTACCAGCCGCTCCATGGAAGGAAGATGGGGTGAACTACTTCTGTAAAGATTTACAGCCTCAGAAACCCAGGGAGGGTCACTATGAGTTGGAGACGACTCAATGGCAGTGAGTTTGTTTTTTTGTTGGAGTTTAACACAGCACCTGGCACAGGGGTTCTCAGTGTTTGGCATGCATCAGAATCACCTGGAGGGTTTGTTAAAACCCAGATGACTGGGCCCCATCCTAGAATTTTAGATCTTTCTGTTCTGAGGTGAAGCTGTGAATTTCTTATATGTTAGATGCTGTTGGTCCGTAGACCACACTTTGAGAAGCACTGCTTTAACATCTGGTATGGTAAGCACACAGTGTTGGCTGCTATTAATGTGTTGCTGGTGGTTGTCAGGGGCCCATGGGCGATTTCTGCCCCAGGGGGCTGGAGGCCAAACCCGGGAGGCTCGAATCCAGACCCTGGAGCCTGACAACTGGATGCAGGAGGTGAAGCTCTTTGGTCATGGCACCCGGAAGCGAGTCCCCCTGGGCCAGCTGGAGCTGTACGTATCTGGAGGCACAGACAATGCTCCTCATTGGGGTCCCTCACACCCCAAAATCCACCCCATTTGTATATCCATCTTTCTTTCCCAACTTGCCCTCCCCTCTGCCCCATAACGTATGACCCCAGAAGCTCCCCATACACAGCCCCAGTGCAGGGCTGGACAAGTGGGAGAGGCACAGGGCCTCTTCTCCAAGACCCTTTGTGATCGTCCTTTCAGGTTGGAAGAAGTTTTGGCCATGGGGCTACGCACAGATGTGGGGATCACTCACCAGGTAAAGGGACCAGGACTCTGGAACACCACTCCCTCCTCCTGAACCTTTCAGAATCACTCTGTCTCTCTCTCACCACCATCCCCCCCCCCACACACACACACATAGCTCCCAATTATCTGGGTTTGGCAGCTGGAGGTAGGGCCTGGGTCCAGCCGATATCTGATGGGCAGAAGCACTGGGCAGAGTGGTGCAGTGGTGAGAACCCTAGCTTAGGACTGCAGTGAGCTGGGTTCTAGTCCCAGGTTCACCACACCCTTGGGCAGAGATCCTCTCACCTTTCAGAACCTCCACTTTCTCATCTGGCTGAGGGTAGAGATTAGATAATAGATTTTCAAGTGTTTTAACCTCAGACAGGAAGCACAGTAGATAATGACAGAGAAAATAGAGAGCTGCTTCAGATGTAGCCAGACCAGAAAGCCCGAGCCGGAGCCGACAGACGACAGACGACAGACGGGGGAGAGAGGGGCGGAGTAGAGGACACATGGCATGGCTAGGAGGTGGCCTGCACATGGAAGGGGGTGATGTTGCCACCTCCCTGCTGGCCCATTGACCTAGTCTTGGCTGAGCAGTGCATGCAAGTCAGCTTCTGAGCCCCCCACACCGGGCTGGCTCTCCCTTACCTCCCACCACACCCCTAGACATCCCAGAGTAGCCCAGCCTCAGGTCTCTAATCCTTCTGGTCTCCCCAGCACTGGCAGCAGTTTGAGCCCCAGCTGACCCTGTGGAATGTGTTTGGGACAAGCAAAGAGGTGAAGCAACTGCAAGAGCAGAGCTTATTGCTGTTGGATCACAGGTGTGTATATGGGAGGCCTAGGGGTCCCCAACTACAGACCTAGGAGAAGTGAGGAGAGACTGGTGGTGAGGGGCCTGTGGATGCCGGGGACTTGGCACTGGTTGAGGGTAGGGGTTGAAGGTGTAAGATGAGGTGGTCACATTCAGGCCTCTTGGTTTTCCAGGGGTCTCCGGTGTTCCTGGGAGGGTCTGGCTGTGCTGGACTCTCTGTTGCTGACCCTCCTACCTCGACTCCAAGAGGTCTGGCAGCAGAGAACCTCCTCCCCTGTGCCAGAAGGATGACTCCTTGTACCCTTACCCCACCAAAGTACCAGCTTTGGGAGCTGGGTGGCACTGCAGATGTCTCTCCACTGCTGGCAGGTGCCTCCTCTTCCTCTGCCCTGGGTGGTCGTTGCCTAATCCTGGCATTCCCAGGGTAATGGCTCCAGTCAGGTGGACGGGAGCACATTTCTGGGCTGAGAACTGGAATCCACCTAGCGTCTCAGGACCCACAGCCCAGTGTTTGTTCCACGGCGGGCGCTGCTTAGCCCCTGCTTCTGCTTCTGTTTGCCTTTTTAGTTCTGAATAATGGACGGTATTTGGAAATCTTTCTATAGAGAATCACCCTCTGGAATGAGGTCCTGAGGCAGGTTGCATGAATCAGGAAAACCAAATCCCCTCTAGGTATTTTTAAGCAAGAAGTGATTTAAGATAAGAGCAAGGTATTTATAAAACCATTGGAAGAACTATTGTTACTTGCTGTTAAGTCAGACCTGATTCATAGCGATTCATCCTTGGGTTTCCGATGCGGTATGACTACGGAAGTAGATTGCCCAACCTTCCTTCCGAGGAGTGGCTGGTGGGTTTGAACTTCCAGCCTTCTGGTTAGCAGTTGAGTGCCTTAGGCACTATGCTACCAGAACTCCTATTGGAAGAACTAGGGAAGAAAAAGAGAAGACCAACTGTCAGGACACAGAACGTTGCAAGATTCTCAGATGCCTGCAGCACTGAAGTAGGTGATTTATAAAAACATCCCCAGAAGATGCTACAAAACGTCATATTTGCTGTCTGCCAAAGGCCAAAAGTCAGCCGCTGCCAGGCTTCTGCGAGTATCTCTCATTGATGATGGACTGTAAGCTAATCCCTGCTGGCGGGAGACTAAGAAGTGTAGTTCTCCGGTGTGTAGCCCCTGCAATACAGGAGAGAGCATAGAAGGGTCTGCTGGTGGTGCCACGTGTATTCCCAGCACAGCAGCCTGCTGAAGCAGTAGAAGAGATCAGAGCAAGCCTCGCCCCTTCTCTCTGGCAGCCAGGATATGTATGTTCACGGTGGCAGGACCCACACAGACCCTCCTGAGCCCCTGCTACCTTACTCCCCACTGCCACCCTCACCCTGTCCATTGAGAAAATGGAGGCGAGTGGGGTCAACCAGGGAAAGGGGATGGGGACCCAGAGCATTGCAATCCTCAGTCCTTTTACCTGCAGGAGTGGTGACAAGGTGTTATGTAAATAATGTCATAAACTCATCTGGAGACTGCCTTGACTATGACTTGCCTTTTGTCTGGGCTCCTTTCTGGAGTATGGATTCCTGATTTGGGAGCTAGAGGCTTAGTCTAGGGCTCAGATCCTCCCCTCTACATTTTATTTTAAAAGATTTTAAACCTGCAGAAAAGTTGAAAGAATAATTCAACGTAAACCATATCTCCTTCATCTACAGGCTATCCATAAAGTCCAGAAATGGGTAGATATTCAAGGCGTCATCAAAGACATCTTCAATCTGTAAAGAAATATGTTTCCAGACTTTGTGGTCATCTTATAGATTCACCAATTGTTAACATTGTACCACATTTACTTTATGTTGTTCTCAGGTGCTGTCAGGGTGGTTCTGACTCAGAGTGACCATATGGACAACTACAAAACCCTGCCCAGTGCTGTGCCATCCTCACAGACATTGCTGTGTTTGAACCCGTTATTGCAGCCACTGTGGCGGTCCATCACATTGAGAGTCTTCCTCTTTTTCTCTTACACTCTGCTTTACCAAGCCTGATATCCTTCTCCAGGCACTGGTCCCTCCTGATAACATGTCCAAAGTGTGTGAGACAATAAGGAGCATTCTAGCTGTACATCTTCCAAGACAAATTGTTTGTTCTTCTGGCAGTCTGTTGTGTATTCAGTATTCTTGGCCAACACCATAATTCAAATGCCTCAATTCTTCTGCAGTCTTTCTTACTCATTGTCCAGCTTTTGCATGCTTTTGAAGCAATTGAAAATGCCGTGGCTTGAGTCAGGTGCACCTTAGTCCTCTAAGTGACATCTTTGCTCTTCAACACTTTAAAGACGCCTTTTGCAGCAGAGTTGCCCAATGCAATACATTGTTTGATTTCTTGACTGCTGTTTCCATGGGATCTTTATGTTAGTATCTATATTTTCTGCTGAGCCATTTGAAAAAAGTATAGACTTTAAACAACCCCTGGTAATCAGTAACCTACTTTCTCTCTGCATTTGCCTGTTCTAGATATTCCATATAAGTGGGATCATATAATACTTACCCTTTTGTGTCTGGCTTATTTCATTCAGCATAATGTTTTCAGGGTTCATCCATGTAGCAAGGGCTGATCCTCCTAACTTGGAAATCATATGCAATGTGTGTGCAAGAGGGGCATTTTGCTAGGAAGAGCTCCATAACTTTCATACCTTATCATATTGCGCAAAGTAAAGCAATACCTCTGCAAATCGAGGTTTGTTGAGCTCAGCCTCTAGCTGGGTGACTAAGGATGAGTGTGCCCCCACCCCAACTCCAGGTAAGCACATGCATTTCCCGTGTGCCTAGTGGGTGTGAGTATCAGTCTTTCTTTGACCCTGTGGTAACATGGTAAGTGTTGCTACCTCTCCTTTATTCATGAAATATTTAGCACTAACGGTGTGCCAAGCACTGAACCAGTCATGCAGAGAGGAATAAGACCTGTCCCAGCCCTCGAGGGACTCACTGCCATTTTGATAGATGGTTAAAGAGATAAATCCCAGGGTTGTCAGTAAAAGTATGTGAGCAGAATAGGAGAGCCTGAAGCGAATTTGGTTTTGAGGGGCTGGGAGCAGGTAAAGGAGGATGCAGTTTTCTTACTATTTCCTCTGCCCTTGGGGCCCTGGAGAGTCTGGATCTAGGGCTGCCAGCAGCGTGACCTGTGCTGTCCCAGGGGAACCTCGCCCTGAGCCTTCCCCTGATCTTGATATTCCAGAAGTGAGCACAGGGCCGGGGCAGGTGCGCCATCAGATAACCTCAGGCCCACTCAAGTTTCTGCCAGGGCTCGTGCCACCTGAGCTGTCTGGGCCCTCCCTGCTGGGCACCTCATGAGGCCTCTCTAGAGGGGCTGGCTGGGGGCCAGTGGGGGTGTCACTGAACACCTTTGATGACTCAGACTGGTGCCACCCTCATCAGGTGAATCAGAATTTCCAGGATGTGGAGTCCAGGAACCTAGTTTTCAAATACCTCCTAAATGGCTCTGACGATAGTCCAGTTTGGGGAACGCTGATTGCTGTCATCTCGTCCTACCTGCTTGCCAGCTTCCTTCCTGAGGTTGGGGTCAGAAGGAACAAGGGCAACACAGCTGCTTCCAGATAGGACAAAATGGGAGTAGGGTCCTGCCCGTGTCAGATTACCCAGTAAGCAAGGTCAGCAGGGGCTTACTTGTGCTTAACTTAATAATCTGTAGTGAAATTTTCAAATTTTTTTATACATCAAAGATTCTGCTTCTAGGTCTGGCTGACATCTGGCTCTCCCAATCTCATAGCACTTTCCTATAGAACCAAAGCCTCTTTTCAAATTTATAATCCCTGACAGGGACCGAGTCCCCAGTAAGCAAGGTGAGCATGGGTCTATTTGTGCTTCCACACTAATCTGTGTTGTTGTTGTTGTTGTGTGCTGTTGAGTCGGACCCGACTCATAGCGACCCCTCCTTGGGCTTCTGAGGCAGTATCACTATGGAAGTAGATTGCCCCATCTTCCTTCCGAGACGCTAATCTGTAGTGAACCGTTTTTCACCACATCAAAGACTGTCCTGCCCTCCCACCCTGCTTCCTAGTGGCTCATCCATCAAAAGAATTCTCTCCTGTACTGGGACCTTGTTTGTCACCTTTCCGCTTGCCCTACGTCATCTGCACACAGACACAAATAAAAGATAAGAACAACCTACTTTGATGAAATTCCTTTTTGATGAAACTGAGGGATTGATTTTTTTATTATTATAAACTCTGTGATGTACGTCTTATGGAAATATTTTTATGCATGGTTTGATCATTCCCACAGGTTTAGGATAAATTCCAAGAAGAGGAATTGCTGACTCTGAGGATATGCCCATCCTCTGTTTGGCTACACAGTGCCAAGCTACCCACCAGGAAGCCTGCCTAGCTCACACTCCTGCCAGCTCGAAGCACTCATTCCTCTACAACTTCATCAATACCAAGCACGATCAATTTTTCCAAATGACTTTAGTATGAATGAAGGGCATCCATATGTGTGTGTGTGTGTATGTATATATATATACACATACACACACACACATTTTTTTTCCTGTTGAGAACATACACAGCAGAACACAACCAATTTAACAATTTCTAAAAGTACAATTCATTGACATTGATTACATTCTGCAAGTTGTGTAACCATTTCATCCTCTTTCTGAGTTGTTCCTCCTCCATTAATATCATTGACCCTTAAGCTTCCTATCTAATCTTTAGAGTTGCTGTTACCAATTTGATCCCATATAGATAGATCTTAAGGAGCTCTGGTAGTGTAGTGCCTAAGGCACTTGACTGCTAACCAGAAGGCTGGCAGTTCAAACCTACCAGCCACTCCTGGGAAGGAAGGTTGGGCAATCTACTTCCGTAATGATATCGTCTCAGAAACCCCAGGAGGGGTAGCTATGAGTCAGGTCCAACTTGACAGCACATAACAACAACAAGAAGATCTTAAAAGAGCACTGTACTCAAGGCAGACATTCCTTACTAGTTAAGCCAAACTATTGTTTGGTATTAAGAAGACTTCAGGAAATATTTTCAGTTTAAGACAAAATGTAAAGAGTATCTCAGGGCAGTAATTTTAGGTGTTCATCCAGCCTCCATGGCTCCAGAAAGTCTGGATTCCATGAGAATTTGAAATTCTGTTCTGTGTTTTCCACCAATGAAGGACATTCTTAATCCTAGCTTTATTACTAAAGCTAAAATACTGCCTCCCTAATAAGGTCACCATGATTCGGAGCTGACTTAACAACAAGAACAACAACTTTAGGCAACTATTTTGGTCCATCA